TTACTGTAAAGCAACAGTGCTAACCTTACTGTAAAGCAACAGTGCTAACCCCAGCACTATCATGCTTTTTACAAAATACCTGCAAAATTGATAATAATCCTCTTTAGCGGTACTCGAACATAATGCTAGTAGCCTAGTGTTAGGTTACTTTAGCATCAGTGTAAGCAACACATCTGTACATTTACAAACGTGCCATCTCTAACACTGGTTTACCATTTCTTAGACCATTTTCATTCAGTGCAGCTCTAAACTTTTCAAGAAATTGAGCTGCAAAGGCCCGATGCAGTTATATAGGACATCAAACAGTCTTTAAGCCGCCAGCTCCCTAGTACAAAGTGCTAACTTGGACAAACATGTATTTATTTGTTTTTTTGTTCTGAGTGTTTTCCATTATCTGGGAGCATTAAGCCATGGTTCACCCTTTGAAAAGCTGATGTGAAATACACAATTGATGTGCAGCTGAATGTTTGTCCTAGTTGCCATCACTCATTCATGCCGTAGATGAGGGAATAAAGCAAAAGGGGAAAACAAGAGGATTATCCTTCAGGATCAGCTGTGTGTGGGTGGATGTGAGTAAGTACTGCAAGTGCAGTCTCCCTCTTTCACTCTCTCCACTCTCTCCACTCATGTCTGTCAACCCCTCTGTTATCCTTGTGTGTCCTTGGCTAACATACTAACTACTGACCTGTAGTCAGTGTGTTGGGGGTAACTAAGTATATGGTGTCGAGGTTGCAAAGCTCCTGTATCAGATTTACTCTCAATGCTGAATATGTTGTATTCCACACCCCCGTATAGATTGTTAATTTCTCCTTACTTGACTGTTTCACACATGAAAATGTTGGTAAACTTTTCTGTTTGTGTGAGCTGTTACCCCAAAGTTAGTCATCCAAGCCCAAAATGTGATTCTCCATCTAAAAAAAATAAATTAATTTGTTAAACAAAAAAACAAAACAAGGAAAAATGAACCCTTCAACATGTAATTTTCCTGTAAATCATAATTTATTTTTAGATAAATAACATATGACTTCACAAATTTAGCACTTACAGCAGTGTAGCTGATTTCTGCAAGATCTGAAAAGGAAGCATTTCTCTTAGACCAGCAATGGTGTAAAGCCTCAGCAGGCTGACATGGAAGAAAGTGGCAAAGAAATCTCACGAGGAGCCCGAATGAGTCTCTGTTGCATTAGTCCAGAGGCCAGTGTCAAACTGACTGAAATGACATTGATCACTGTGGCGCCTCACTGTGCGATACTGTCAGCTCTCGCTGAGATACGGGTCATACGTCTCCTTTTACTGATGATTTATTCTCTGGGTTCAAGCTCTTTTCATTCGTTCTACGTTTGACGCCGCTATATTTTTCACGATCGAAAAAAATCGGAGGGATGTTCTCAGGACTGGTACTTTTTCTCATAGGATAAGAGACGCTTTCCTGCATCCAGGGAATATATATTGGCAAGTGTTCAAATAGATGCAGGGAAAAAATCTAATGAAGACTAGCCTGGATAGTGTTATTAATCCTAATCCACTTAAAGGGTTTTCTAACTGAAATGAATTTACAAGACAAGCACAAGTTGAGAATAAGCAGGATGCACTGTGTGTTCTTGGAAAAATGGCAGTCTTCCAGATTTCTCTCTAGCAGAGAGTACTTCCGAAGCCTCATGTTGTATGTGTGAAATTAATGAATGTATGCAAGTGACTGGGAGCCTACCCTGTATACCGTATGCGAATGCTGCTGTAATATTTAAAGTGATCTGTGCCTTATCACATGCCCTACACATTATATCAGTAGCAATGATATGCCAGCCATATGTTTACCCTATGCATCATGCGTATGTTTGCACTGGGCTCTTGCTATTTACTGCTGTGTACACATATATATGAAAAAGGGAGGCAACTGATTTTGCTTGTTTAACAGATCACATAAAGAAAAAAATGCTTTACTTAACACCTGCAGATATTTACTTAAGAAGTTTGCGCCCACTCCAGGTTGATGCTGTATTTTATGTGCTGAAAGGGAATGTTAAGTGAAATGGACTTGTAATTGCCGCATACCATTTTGCTGCTTAGTTGAACTGGACTGAAGGAAGGATACCTTAAGTAATGTCAGCTCACTCCACCTGACCACTATTTATAGTGTTGCAAATGTAGCATTATTTTCCTCAGCCTATTTTACCTGTAGCAACTCTACTTTTATCTACCAACACATTTGCCTGTTTTGGCTTGCATAAATGTTAAGTTTTGTTCTCCACATTCCCTTATTTGAGTATCCAAATTTCCCCAAATTTACCAGTGGGATGAATGTCGATGAGGCTCTGATAAAAACGATGGATGCTGCATTTACTTGAAAGGTAGGAAGGGATGTGTAAATGCAAATATTGGTCCAGTGTTCATGAATGACAAATGCAAATGAAGAACAATAGCTGGGATGTTATTTTAGTTCTGTCTTACAATACTAGCCACATGTCATAATGCATAGTGTTTATATTTATATATATTGCATGTTAATAAGCTCATTATTTTTTATGATATAATATATAATGCAGTGGTGACATTTGAGGGTCTTACTGTATCTGTAATTGCATTAAAGATGCAAATCACATTGAGTCATTTTAATTGATAGATGGAATTCATTCATTCACCACTATCCTAAAATCAAAACTAAGCCTTCCACTTGAGTATAATTTATCTAAATGTATTTTATGTCTTTAATTTTATGTTAATATAATCACGTGGCAAATGTGAATCTGCTATGTGAGTAGCTCTGTGCATTGCAACACTGTGCCAGATCAGTTTACAGCCTGTAAAATGCTTACATTGCAAGAGTGTTCATACTCTTAGGGAGCTGTGGATGACAATATTTAAGGCATGTCAGAAACATTAGGCATATTTTTTTTTGCACCAAAATATTAGAGTTTGATAAAAAAAAAAAAAGAAAAAAAAAAAAGGTTTATTTGCACATGCTACAACTAAGATTATGTTGCTTTATACAATGGTAAATACTAGCAGAATTGAGTATGGAGGTTTGTCTTCCATGTAGGAAAAAAATAAATAAATCCAACAAGTAGTTCTACAATTTTTACAGAGATGTGAGTCATACTCTTCCAGACTTACACAGAGACTTAAACACAGTTGTGCACTCTCATTCTCCCCATTAAACCCCTAATTTATTTCATACATTGTGATCTAATAATCATGTGGAGAGCCCGGAACAATGAACAATTTTAATAGAATAATAATGAATAATGAAATGAAAGGTTTACACATATGTGCACAAACAGTTTAATAGGTTAGCAAAGGAGCAACACATCCTAAGACACTTCCGTATGGCGTATTTTCAGACACTTGTATTTAGGGCTGCCAGGATTAGTCGACTAGTCACGATTACGTCGACTATCAAAATCGGACTGATTCAATAGTCGACGTGTCGTTTGAAGCTTTGTAAGATCACAAAAGCAGCAGGAATAAGTAGTAGGATTTAAGAGTGTAATAATAGACTGAAACAGAAGATGGCAGCATTGCATGTACAAGGATGCCAGCTGCCGTTAAACTCCGAAGAAGAAGAAGCAGCTCTGTCCCAGTCAGAATTCAGCCCAGCTCAGTTTCCAACAATGGCAGCATCTAGTTATTATTCTTTCTGGGTCACAAAATAAACGTTTAACATATTTTCAGGCGAGAATGTAACTATGTAAACCTCAAATATCTGCTCAGTTTATGAAGACACCACATATTTTCAAAAGCGCTCCAACGTTTTCGGAGACTTCTGTTACCTACTAGCTCGATAGCTAGCCGGGGGCAAGGCTCACTAGAGCCACTGAGAACACCGGACTCCCGGCAAATCATCTTCAAACCCACCGCCGTCTTTCACTACTCAGGTTAAATATATATAAGTCACTTAGATAACTTTTTAGTATTTATTTGTTCCTGAGTAAATCGGTTTGGCTGAGATTAAAATTATAGTTTTTACACAGATGAATAAAGCAGACAAATGATTATCAGAAGTGTGAGATGCTCTAGAATATACTCCGGTGTCCCGTTACATTTTAGATAGCAAGGAGTTTATTAAACTTAACCGAAACAATCTGCAAATTTCATTAAAATTTAATAAACTATCATCTTGTCTTTATTTTTAGTTAGCACATACCTTACACACTTAAAGCTGTAAGCTAATGATAGTTATATGAGAGCAGATGCATGCTGGTGCAATAAGCTGTATGTTTTACGTTCAATGGATGCATGATCTGATTAGTCGACTGATCACAAAAATAACCCTAACCCTATCAAAATAATCGTTTGTGGCAGCCCTACTTGTATTGTGAATGTAAAGGAAGACAAGAATATTTTTTATTATTTTAAGACTTTTTATTTTGTATTACCTTGATAATATTTTTATTGGAGTAGATTTTATTTTGAGAAATATTATATTGTACTAAAGAGTCATGGATAATTATTTGAGTCAGCTGCAGTGTTTTTCCTACATTGGTACTCTTGAATTTATGAGCTGATCTCTAACAATAGCAAATTATTAAAAAGTTGTTGCAAATTGATCGGCTTGTCACCTTCAGTTGAACCATAAAATAACCAGTGATTGCCGTCTGTTAAGAATCAGCAGCGTATTATCTGCTGGGTGATTCCTCTGAGGTATTAGGTTGACTCATTTTGTCCTTCATTGATGACGTAGAATGCCTTTTTAACGCAGTGCCATCCGAGTGCTGATTTTCCACCTCGTCCCTTGCGCACAGAGATTTCTCCAGTTTCTTTGACTCTTTTGATGATATGTAGTGTAAATAATGAGATATTCAAAGGTTTCCCTCTAAAATTGTAGATTTCTTTTTGGATCTGCAAATTCTTGTTTCAGTATTTAATTTGCAATTGACCTTTCTGGATTTGAATACTTGTACTGTGATAAATTACTCTTTGTGCCCAGTGTTTAAGTAAAATGAACAGTATATGTTCTCAGTGGTTGTCAACCATTTATTTTCTTACTCTTTTGGTCTTTGCAGGATCCCAGAACTAAGCACAAGTTCAAGATCCACACCTATGGGAGCCCCACCTTCTGCGATCACTGTGGCTCTCTCCTCTACGGCCTCATTCACCAGGGCATGAAGTGTGACTGTGAGTAATTAAGTTTAAGGGAAATGTTTAAGAGAAAATGAACATGTGTGACTCTACACTGATTATGTCGTAGTTTAAAGCCATTTTTTCAGAATGACTCCTGTCAAAAAATATCATATGGGGATCTGTTCCCCTCCTCCTGACTTTGACTCATTAAAATTACACATTGTCTCTCTTCACTGTGCGGCTGTGTTTGCTGCACTTTCATAATAAGCCTCGTATCAAAGCTTTTCTGAGTCTTTATTAATATTTCCTCCTTAGTTGTCTTTCCTTTAATCTTGCATTAGTGGATTAACGTCTGAAAGCCTTAATGAGCTCCTGCATTATCTGCTACATACTCAGAATGGCAAAATGATTGCTCTAGGGTGTACAAAAATAGAGATGTGGAAATTATATTTTAGCAGATAAGCCACACCTCTAGTCACGCCATTATGTGATTATACATTTTGGTAGTTTTAAGCACTGTTAACACAAGGTTGTGCCAGGGAGGTACAAATAATACAACAGTCCCAAGGAAGAATGTGTCAGCACCACAACCGGTTTTCATTTATTTTCACCTGCTGACCTGATGACGTGATGATACAACTGTTCCCAATCCATGAAACGACAGCTCAGCTGACTGACACACATGTATGAATATGGGTCATAACCTTGTTAACTGCTCTTCAAAAAAATAATAACTTAACATTGTGTAAAGATGGTATTCTTATATTAGCCTACTCCAATGGGACATTAAGCTTGCATGTGTAAAAACAACACTTGGAATATGGAATATATTTTGCTGTCCATCTTATATAAGACTTGTGTGTGTGTGT